TTAGTTGGTGATGTAGACAATGAGCTGGCAATTTGGACAGTCAGCTCTGTGTGAGCCCCTACACTATTTAAGCCACAGTGCAGAGCACCAGCTGTAACAGGGTGTGTCAGACGAGGCCTAGCCCTTATCACCTGAGAGACAAACAGGAAAACGATGACAGTACTGAAACACCATCAAAGAAGACAGGGGGCTGTGAGAACTCTGGAAAAAAAAACGATCTAACACAACGCTAGTTGGTCAGAGCCATTGTAACACTAAGAAATATTTGGAACCTCACCAATTAGTTTGAGGCAGTAAAGATCCTGTTTAATCATATGACCTCCCTGGTAAGTTAGTTTGATTAGCTGCAATTCTTATTTCCCCTGGAGCCAGGTTCTAGAACACTGGGAGCAAGGATAAGGAAGTACAAGGAAGTTTTATTCAGACTAGCTATCAGCTATCTTTGTTTGCTTGGCTGGAGACTCCTTCCAAGCTCTGTTTCATGTCCCCATCCCCTTTATCTAAAAGGACTTTTTCAGAATGAATCTTAAATGAGCTTGTATTGATATGTGCCTAACTGCTCATAGCAGAATCTCCCACACTTGCCTGAGGATAAGATCTACCTGGTGTCATTCTCAATTGTAAGGCTAACCATTTGGTGGGTCTGGTGTACGGTCTGGAATCTGCTTTTTAAAAAGTCCTGCTTACCCTTAGATAAATTTGAAAAGCTGTGATCCAAATAAACTGTCCCTAAAAATAAGACTACCATACAACCTAGCTAGACAACTCTTGGATATAGAAAATGTGCATATGCATAAAGGAGTTTTATGCAGCAACCAAGAAAAAAAATGAAATTACAGCTGTGGAAAAATAGATGCAATTGGAGATCAGACTCAGAAAGATAAATACTGTGTGGTTTCTCTCTTACGTTGATCCTAGATTAAAAGTGTGTGTGTGTGTGTGTGTGTGTGTGTGTGTGTGTGTGTGTGTGTGTGGTGAGAGAGGACAGAGAGGAACAGGAGTGTGTGTTATGAAATTAGAAAGTGGATCATGAGAGGGGAGGAATAGATTTCATGGGGAAACAGCAAATGCAATACTTGACATGAAAGCAGTAGAAAACCACTTACAGGACGTTGGGGGGATGAATTAGAGCCAAGAATGATAAATATGTAGGAAAATGCCATAATGAAACACTTTACTTTGTATGCTTACTTAAAAAGCAAAATGTAGATATTAAATAAAGGTATTGTCCCAAGATTTGTAATAAAGCACTTTGATTCCTAAGCACATATGGCTAAATTGTAGAATGTTCAGAATTTTAACAACAGAGCTAGAAAGATAGCTCAGTGGTTGGGAGCAGTTGATGCTCTTCCAGAGGACTTGGGTTAGTTCTCAGCACCCACCTAGTGGCTCACAACCATCTGTAACTCTAGTTCCAGGGGATCTGACACATTCTTCCAGCCTTTGCAACATGCTAACAGTGCACAGAACCTCTTACACACATACATATATATATATGCACATAAATAAAAATAAATATTTTCATTTTTAAATTAAAGAATTTTAAAAAGAATGTAAATAACAAAACTGACCTTATGTTTGAAAAGCATCATATAATTTCTGATATTACATACACTATACATGTTACCATAATAGAACCTCCCAAGAGCCTGTAAATCACATAGACTATCTTCATCAGATTGACTGAACTGGTTGGAAGAGATCATCGAAACCAGGCCTGTAGACTGTTGACATTCCCTCAAAGAAAAATGGGCTGGGGTGGGTCACTGGACCATCACCTGAGGTTCCAGCCATTCTGCTTAGCCATTTGTATGTGTGCAATTCTGCCTTAATTAGTCTTGGTCTCAGTGGTCTCTATAGGTGTTAGAGTCCAAAGGCTGAGGAAGATTAACTAGGGAATACTCTCTTATGCAGCTAAGAAGAAGCCATTGTCCATTCTGAGTGAAGACTTTCCAAGGTGGCTGCTTTGGGGGTCACCCATACACTTGTAGGCAATCCCTCAGTCATGCTCTATAACTAAGCCTCATACTCCTTGATTCCCCAGGTTGAACTTCAGTGGAATCATACTTTGGTTTGTTATTGGGGCCTTAAAAGGAGGAGGCAGACTTTGTTTACATCTCTCTAGGGAAGGAATTTTCTCAACATCTGGCATAGTATAGTCTATAACACAATTAGAAAGCAGCCACACATTAAATGATGGGAGAACAGCAAAAAGTGAGGCGCTTATTGTCAGATCACAGAAGCTGCCCCTGTAAATGGGATCGACCATGCTTTACATCCTATATAGTATATTCTCTAAAACTGTTAAGCATGTAGGAGACCCAGAGTAGTGTGGACCAACAGGATTACCTTCCTAAATTAAGGCATTATACTCTATTTAGTATCTTCGTTAATCTGTTACACTTAGAGATCCCTGCCCTCTAAGCTCAAAAACCACTTACCTTCTGAAGTCTACAACTATAGACTTAGTTCTGTGGGTGGCTGCTGGATTGTCAACATATTCCAGCTTCCCCTCATCCCAGCTCTATAATGATCCTGGAAAGAGTCCTTTTTATTTTAATGCCCACTTTTGCAAGATACTTTATGTCACAGACAATGCCCACAAGGTTTGAATTGATATGGAGCTCAAGGATAGCCTGAACCATTAGGAATCAAAAAACCTCCAAAAGCTAGGTAGCATATTTATATAGAAACTCATTCATCTTCTGTGGCACCATATACTTTTCTACACTGGTTTCTTCTGTGAACTGCACCAGTTATGTCTTCCACAACCATATTTTGTATCACAAACCAGTCCGACCTGCAAGAGGAGTACAGCTTTGGTACTTTTGCAATGCTCTGCTGCCTAACCAGTTTATGTTCGCAAAAGCGACACTTGTTCATGTCACAATGGAGAGATGTCCTACTGAAGAAAGGGTGACTATCATATGAAGCCTTGTTTAGAATTCTTTCTGGGCCTACTTAGGATTTCTGATGCAGTAGAGTATCACATTTAATTAAACTGTATGCATATATGTTGTAGAAGGGGCATCGTGTTGGCAGCTGCGACCTGTTCTAAGGTATTCATATCCTAGGCAGAGTAGAAAGGAAGATATAAACATGTTAACTATGTGAGGAAGAATTATAAGACAGAATAAGCAGTGTTCTTTGGTGACAGAGTAGGAGTCAATTGTTCTCATGGAAGAATCTGCTGGGCTTGGTGGTGCATGCCTGTAATCCCAGCATGTCAGAGACAGGAGGATCACTCTAAATTAGAAGTATCTTGGCCTACACAGTGAGTGTCAGTTTAGGGCTACATAGTCAGGCCACATTTCAGACAAATAAGATACAAGGTTCCTATGGAAGATTCTGAAAGGTTAGTTGGGAAACTGACATTTCCCCTGGATCCTGAAAGATAGGTATTCAAAAGACAGATAAGAGCATTACACTCTGAATCTGTGAGTAAAGGTATCACGTAAGCTCTAGTCTCTGACAGCTACTGGATAGCTGGTGGCTACCCATTGCTTGGGTAGGACAACCAGAAAGAAGCCTTGGGTCTTATACTTGCGGGGAGACGACCTGTGACCATTGTACCTTATTCTTCCCTTTTGAGTTTTCAATTTATTTTTGAAACAGGCTCTCTGTGTAGTCCTGGAACTCACTTTGTACACCAGGCTGGCCTTAAACTCAGAGATCCCCCCGCATCTGCCTCCTAAGTGCTGGGATTGACGGTGTGCGCCACCAGCCCAGCAAAAAAAATTTTTTTAAACCCAGGTGTCCTAGATAAGCCCAGAAGCTATTGTTTCAACAAAACAACATGACCAAAGCAAGTTTGGAGGAAAGGGTTTATTTGGCGTATACTCCATATCACAGTTCATTGTTAAAAGACGTCAGGACAGGAACTTAAACAGGGCAGGAACCTGGAGGCAGTGGTTGATGCAGAGGCCATGGAGGGTGCTGTTTACTGGCTTGCTTCCCATGGCTTGCTCAGCCTGCTTTCTTATAGAACCTAAGACCACCAGCACAGAAATTACACCGCCCACAATGGACTGGGCCCTCCCACACCAATCGCCAATTAATAAAATGCCCTAAAGGTTAGCCTACAGTCTGATCTTATGGGGACATTTTCTTAATTGAAGTTTCCACCTCTTAGATGAACTTTAGCTTGTGTCATGTTGACATAAAGTAGCCAGCACACTACCCCACCACACAGGGTCTTGCTATGCAGACTAGGCTGGTTTGGAATGCAATCCTTGGGATCTTCTTGACTTTGCCTCTTTTTTTTGTTTTGTTTTTCCAAGACAAGCTTTCTCTGTATTGTTTTGGAGCCTGTCCTGGAACTCACTCTGTAAACCAGACTGGCCTCGAACTCACAGAGATCCGCCTGCCTCTGCCTCCCGAGTGCTGGGATTAAAGGTGTGCGCCACCAATGCCCGGCTCGACTTTGCCTCTTGAGTGTTGGAATTACAACTGTGTTCCACCATGCCTAGCTGATAAAATCTTCTTATTGGTTTTGAGACAAGATCTCACATGTAGCCCTGGCTGTCCTGGAACCTGCTGTGTAGACAAGACTGTGTAAAAGAGTTTAGACAAAAATAACAGTGGAAGGAATGAATTCAAATTGGAGGTTACTGTAGCAGCATGAACAAATAGTCCTGGAGCCTAACCAGTCTGCCGTGCTGAAGCTAGAGTAGAGACAGAGGGCTGGTCATCAAGACATGTCCCAAAAGAGTCCCTGGCCTTGGGTACTCATTGAGTGTGTTTTGGTTGGGGAGAGGAGTGAATGAGACAGACGTCATTGGTCACCACCAAATGAGTGCAAAGAGATTGCTCTCTGAGAAAGCCTCTAATCCTCTCAGGGGTCAGAGGAAGAGGAGGGACAACCACAGGACAAAGAAGGAAGTAGTTTAAAGCATCCAGAAGGAAGAAAGCCCAGAAGCCAGGTGGCAACAACAGAGCCCCGCCCCCGGTTAGACCCCGCCCCCGGGACCGCCTTCTCTCCCTCTTCTCACCCACCCTCCAGTTGAGACTCATCCTCCTGGGCGGGGTGAGGTGGCAGTCCAGTCCTCCCGTATCCCAGCAGGCAGTGCAGTCTGGAGACGCTGACAAAGGAGCGGGGAGCAGTCGCAGCTGCTTTGGAAGGAGCCACTGTTACTGAGGTGAGAGTCCCCTAATGTCCCGTCACCCACTTCCTCTGACTTGGGTGGGGGAACGTGGAACTTACGTGGCCGAGGTCCCCCCCCCCCCGTGTAGACAAAGCTCAGGACCGGCAGCCAGATCTTGGCTCCGCGACTGACAGCAGGGCTGCACTGAGCCGGGCTGCGGTGGCTGGCTGGAACTAGGCAGCGGGTCCACCGCTCTCTGACTGCTGGTGGTCCTTCCGCAGGGTCCGGCCAGCAGATGTGTAGCTGCCCCTGCCTGAGCGAAGGCAGCCTCCCGCTGCCTGCCTGGCGGAGTTGAGTTGCCCTGGGGATGCGGCTCCAGGGACAACTCTTTGGCGGACATTGCCTGGAGGGCTGCGGGAGGAAAGTCGGTCGACTACCCTGTTCGGGGTGACACTGTCCTCGCCCTTCCTGCAGTTCAGCCGGTCCCCCCAGCGAGCAACTGGGAGGAAATGGGGGGGGGGTGGAGCCAGGCGTCCCGGGGTGGCTTTGCCTGAAGGGACTTGAAAGGAGGTGGAGAAACGGGGAGGGTTGAGGTGGGAGCAAACGTCTTCTTGGAATTATAGGGGAGAAGAGGGGTACGTGGCCTGTCTCTTCACCCCTCCCTGGACCTCTGCATGGATCCTGCTGGTTGCACCAGCTGCTCAACCGTAAACAGGCTCACATGACCAGTTTCACATGGAGCCGGGCAGTGTGGGGTTAGAGCTGTAAAGGCCCCAAGCAGGTGGGCTGGTGTCTTAAGGAGGAAGGTTTTAGTCCCTCACTAGACATCAGCTTTGAAAGTTCTGGGGTACCCCTGTGAGGAAAGTAACTGACTTCTGCCTTTCTCCCACTGGAGTAACATTGCTGTCCCAGTAGAACTGAAGGAAATTTCACTTGGGAGAGCCACAGGGCAAATATGAAGTGAATAGGGTCCTAGCATTTTGTCCTTTAAGGAAATGAAGTGATAGTAATCCTGAAAAATTCAAGTTCCCGAATTTTGCCTAAAAGGCAGTCCTGTTCTTTCGGAACACATTTTGTTCTTAATGTGAATTCCAGACAGGAAAAAGTCTACTCTTTCGGGATTTAATACATTCTTAGTGATGAAAATCTTGTCCACACTTCCTGTAAGTATTGGGAAATCTCTTTGCCTATTAAAGACTACATTCAGGAAATTGAGTAAGGGGTAGACAACCGGCTTTTCGATTACACATTTATTTGGTACAGATCGGTGGTGAGTTTGGAAAACAGGAAACAAGGCCAAATGAATCTTTGAAACTGTACAGTCTATACACTCAAACAGTATGTGAGATTAAACTGGTTTCTCAAGGATATGTAAAGCAACATGGGTTTTCTTTCTTTGGTTTTTCGAGACAGGGTTTCTCTGTATTGTTTTGGAGCCTGTCCTGGAACTCACTCTGTAGACCAGGCTGGCCTCGAACTCACAGAGATCTGCCTGCCTCTGCCTCCCAAGTTCTGGGATTAAAGGTGTGTGCCACCAATGCCTGGCTGCTACATGGGTTTTCTAACATGTCAGGATACTTGAAACTTTAGAATTTTTCAAATCTGTGAGAAATGGTTGTGATAGAGTCCCTTCACATGTAGTATATAATCAAACGTAACAGACAGTTTCAGTGTAAAGTGGTAATCCCTTTGTAGACAAAACCACAAAATAGATACTTCATCTATCTTCCTCAAATTGTTCATGTCTATTCATCTCAAATATTATATATATTTTTTTCTCATAGGGTTTTACATTCAAGTCCACTGTCTGAAAACATAAAACAAGAAACTACAAAACCCATGCCATTCTTTATTAAGCCTGACCAGGGCTACATATGGAATGTCTCAAAATATTGCTACTCTATCATTTTTTTAATTAATCAATTTTGGTTTTTTTCGAGACAGGGTTTCTCTGTGTAGCCTTGACTGTCCCGACATTCTCTTTGTACACCAAGCTGACCTTGAACTCACAGAGTTCCGCCTTCCTCTGCCTCTGTCTCCCCAGCACTAGGATTAAAGGCGTGCACCACCACAGCCCAGCTCCCTGTTTTGTTTTTTAAAAAAGCTTCAGATAAGCTGCTAAACTAACAGTATCCTGAATTTAAGGCCAGCCTGTTCTACAGAGTGAGTTCCAGGACAGCCAGGGCTGTTACACAGAGAAACCCTGTCTCGGAAAAACAAGACAAAAACAAAAAGGCAAACCAGGACAAATAAACAAGACCACAATAAAGCAAAAAAGGGGGTTTAAGATAGAAAATGGGGAACAGCAATCCGGCTGCCATAAGCTCGCAAATGTTGGGAGTACAGGTGTGAGGCACCATGCCTGGCATGTATGCAGTTTTTGACAGGGAGCTATTTTTGGACAAATATGTCGGCCAAATAAGGCAAGATATTGGTAACAACTAAAAAGCGTGATAAAACTAGGAATTGTATCCTGCATTAGTCTTGAGGCAGGTGGATCTGTGTGAGTTTGAGGCCAGTCTAATCTACACTGTGAATACCAGACCAGCTGGGTTACATAGTCAAACTCTGTCTCAAAAACGGAGGTAAATTAGTCATGTAGGTCGACCTGTACCTGTCTTGCTTTTCACCAGGTAATTGAAGATGGCCCATACTAACTCATACCTTCTAAATCAGAAATAACAGCTCTGCTTGGCTTACTTGACCTTCAGGTTATAGCCCAAAGTCTAATTCTTCTACTCAGTTCAGTTCAAACTTCCTGCTGAGTTAACTGGGTTCTGGGAGTTTAGTGATGGTTAGGAAAAAGGAGGGGTGAACGGCCTCGCTTTGACAGTAGCTGACTCTGAGGAGCTGAGCCAGTGCGTGGCTTCTAGCTTTCTCAGGTTCAAAATTTGTTTCTGTCAGCACATCCTAATATTACTAGTCTCAGAGATTAGTTCATACTAACTAAATTCACAACAAATATGGATATGTTACTGTGCCAACCTGTTGACTTCCAATGAGAGGTGGCACAATCAAGTAGACTAGAAGGCTCGTGTACAAAGCGGACAACCTTTGCTCTTGACTATAAAGAAACACATAGGAGTTCGAGGTCAGCACAGTCTACCAGAGTGAGTTCCAAGACAGCCAGGGCTACACAGAGAAACCCTGTCTTGGTAAAGAAAAAAATAAACACATAGGAAAAGTTCTCAGCTTCCCTTTTTCTGGGGTCTATAAATTGACAAATTCAACAAGACTACAGCTTTTATGTAAAAGCCACTTCAGTGACACGTCTGTATGACTGTGCTCTAGTCACCTGATTGACCTTTGGTCACTTGAAACATCTGATTCCATTCCTACGACCTTAGCCTCAGCTTACATCTCATGCCATAGTCGTCAACAGTTTGTTCTCCTTGCATGTACACTGGAGGCAGGTTTTGAACTAGGACAGTCAATGGCCAACACTCACCCACCTCCAAACTCATCGAGTCAGTCTCTGTTGCTTAAAAATCCTTCAGAGGTTTCCCACTGCCTGAAGCAGTGGTTCTCTAAGCTGGTGATCTGAGAATAACCCAGACAACGCGATAAAAAACAGGCCCAGACTCTACTCCCACCATTCCTGACAAGCTCCAAGCTAGGAAAAGTTAATGATCTTCTACAATCTACCTCCAACTTTTCAGTTTTCCCTCTTGTTACTGTGCCCATGCATATTTAAATCCTATGAGTGCCACATGCTCACTGTGAGTGCCCCTATCCCTTTTATGCCTCTGCACATTCTTCCTGCAATTCATCCCTTCCACCCCGATATACACCACCAGTTTTTGCTCGCAGAGCAGACTGTGTCAGCTGGTATTTCAATATATGTCCTAATATTCCAATAGCATCATATTTTAATACCTATTACATGTTTTCCTTGCTAGTCTTGGATTTTGAAAGGTGAAAATACTGTTTTCATCTTTTCTCATATCCCCTACCATAATTCTTGATATAATAAGGCTAAGTATATGGTGAGTAAATTAAAGATATTGTTCTTTCGTTTTGTTTTGAAACAGGGTCTCACTATGTAGCCTTGGCTTGCCTGGTATTAGTTATGCAGATCAGGCTGGCCTCCAACTCAGAACTCCTTTTGCTTCTGCCTTCTGTGTGCTATGGTGTGCTCAATGATTTGCTCCCCCAAGCCTACAATTAAATATCTTAAAACTCTATATGCCACATGTACCAACTTACATATCCTAAATACTGAATTAATATAGAGTATTCTTTGCACATCTTGTAATAGCCGAACTTGTTTATTGAAATGGAGAACTAAAGTTGCTTTTTGGTTTAGTGGGGGTATTTTGTTTTCTTTTTGCATGTGGTTTTCTGGGGGCTTTTTGTTTTTCTTTTGAGATAGGGTCTCACTATATATACTATGTAGGCTTGGCTGACCTCAAACTTGCTATGTAAACCAGGCTGACCACCAACTCATAGTAACCCTTCTGTATCTATATGTCACGTGCTGGGATTGCAGGGTTGTGCCACCACACCCAGCCATATGTTTACAGAAAGACAATTCTCTAAGGCATTGCTTTTTGTGTGGTACTTGAGATCAATTCCTGTGCTTCATGCATGCTGGGCACTGTGCTTCATGCATGCTGGGCAAGCTCGTTATCACCAAGCTACATCCCCAGCTCTTTAAAAGGCTTTGTTTGCTTATGTATTTATCCATTCATTTGCTTTTTGGGAGACAGGGCTTCACTCTAGCCCAGTCCGACTTGGAACTCACTGTAGCCAGGTTAGCCTTGAACTCATCATTCATCTCCCTCAGGCTTAATGTTGGGACTAAAATTATATATCACTAATTTTACTTATTTTTGAGACAGGGTTTTACTTTGTAGCCGCAGTTGTCCTGAATACACTATGTAGACCAGGCTTGCCTTGAACCCACACAGTTCTACTTGCCTGTGCATCTCAAGAGTTGGGATCATAGGCATTATGTACTGTGCCCAGCCACTAATTTTATTTTGATATGTGGTCTTGCTATGTGGCCCAGGATGTCTTTGAACTTGTGATCTTCTTTTAAAGTTTTATTTACT